GGAGACCCTGTGGTCAGTCCCACTCTGTCCTCTAGGGGCGCTGTGGGTCAGAATGGACTCCATGGCAGTGGGTGTAGTTTTGGCTTTGCTTCTGTAAACACTGACAGCCTTGGAGACCCTGTGGGCAGTTCTACTCTGTCCTCTAGGGGCGCTGTGGGTCGGAATCGACTCCACAGCTGTGGGTTTGGTTTGAGCTTTGCTTCTATAAAGACTGACAGCCTTGGAGAACCTGTGGGCAGTTCCACTCTGTCCTCTAGGGGTGCTGTGGGTCAGAATGGACTCCATGGCAGTGGGTGTGGTTTGAGCTTTGCTTCCCTGAAGACTGACAGCCTTGGAGACCCTGTGGGCAGTTCCACTCTGTCCTCTAGGGGCGCTGTGGGTCAGAATGGGCTCCACAGCTGTGGGTTTGGTTTGAGCTTTGCTTCTATAAAGACTGACAGCCTTGGAGACCCTACGGGGCAGTTCTACCCTGTCCTACAGTCCCTGTGTGTTGGAATCGACTTGTTGGCGGTGGGTAGTGGATTAATCTGGGGAGCGCCCTGTCACCTACCTCGTGGGGTTGGTGGGTGGTCGAGGGCAGTGATGCGCCCTCAGTGCTCTGCATGGTCCATGCCACCTGCCGCCCGCAGTGGTTTGTGGGGACAGTCGGCGGTGGCGGAGGTGACAGGGTACAATCCTGGGAGGTAAGCCTGGCCCACATTTAAGGGGTTGCAGGTAGACAGTAAAAGTGTGCATGATAAAAAACCTTCTGTGACACCCTCCTTGTTGTGGTCGACTCTTCACATAGCCCGGGGCCACAGTGCCCGCTGGGCAGTAAGCGGGACCCTACCGGTGGTGGCCGGTTCTCCACACGGCCTGAGGCCATAGGGTCCACTGGGCAGTGAGTGGGACCCTACCGGTGGCGGCCGGTTCTCCACACGGCCTGAGGCCACAGTGCCCGCTGGGCAGTGAGGGAGCCGTGTGGACGCATCTCCCTGTCTACCACCAGCCTCGCGTCCGTCCGCTTGCTTCCCTCGTTTCCTGGTTTGCTTCCCTGTGGCCCGCAGCAGGCCCCCTGGACTGCTGTGACCTCCATACCCTCTGAGGCCCTCAGCTCCATGTCCTCCCATCTCCCTCTCTGTGCAGTTTCTCCTCCCCAACCCCTTCCTTAGGGGGTTTCTTAGGGGACAGGAACTCTTTCTAGCCTCTTCACTCAGACTTCTCCAGGATTTCCCTCTGTGAATCAGGGGCTCACACCCCCGCCGGGGAAGGCTCACTTGGAGGCCAGGAGTGCGGTCTCCCCACTCGCACCCTTCCTGCCTTTGCAGCTGTGTCTGCCCTGCTGCCCTCACGGGACGCTTCCCTGGGCTCGGGAGCAGCCGTGCGCACCGCTGGCTGCTCTGGGAAGGCA